TTATAACATTAAGGTTCTGGCTTATTACTTTCACCTTATAACATTAAGCTTACTTTTACCTTATAACATTAAGGTTCTGGCTTATTACTTTCACCCTTATAACATTAAGCCAGAACCTTAATGTTATAAGGGCCAATGGCCCTTATAACATTAAGGTTCTGGCTTATATGCCCTTATAACATTAAGGTTCTGGTTTATATGCCCTTATAACATTAAGGTTCTGGCTTTTGCAGTCTTAGTTAGATTTAGATGTGTGGTTTAGGCACCATACTAGTATTATTGATTTACTTTTTCAATTTAATTTCTAATTCAATTTTCATTTGGACATTAAGATACATGCATACATAGCTAGTAGTTATCTTTGTTTTTTTTTTTTTTGCCCTGAAAGCACCAATATATGTAGTTTTTATTCTTGCTTATTATGAGTTCAATTAGATCTATAATTAGATGAAAGGTGGTCCCAGACTTGAATCTAAATCTCCTAAAGAGATAGTCATGTTCTATAACTTTCTCAGCTTTCCTTTGTATCTAAAGTGAATATAAAGTTAAAATATAATGAAATTACATTAATTGTTGCTTTTGTTGTATTAAAAATGTATTAATATTTTACTGTTTCATTCTTCAATTTGAGGAAGCAAATATCTAACATCTTATGTGTTTTCAGAGGAAAAAATGATGTTTTAAGGAAACGACTGAGAACATTTTATAAAGAACAGAAAACATTACTAAACAAAGTGAATAAATCAAATTGTCCATATAAATATCTTTGTGTGATTGATTTTGAGGCTACTTGCGATGAAAATAGTAACAAGGATGTTAATTATCCACATGAAATTATCGAGTTTCCTGCCGTTTTAATTGAAACATCTTCCAAAACCATTGTAAGTATAATATCACTTTTAGTGTGTATGCTTCAGGTTGATATTAAGTTTTTAAAGAATTATTTTCAAATATATGGTCCAATTTTAAAGTCTACTGAAGATAATTATCAATTTGGCAATTATAAAATCTCAGATGCACAGTTAACACACTGATGCTAAAATGTCTTAGACATTTGAGCATCAGTGTGCTAAGTGGGGTTGAGTTTTTCAAACTGAAATACTTGCTACATTCAAATTTTACTTTTCTGGTTCTGTTATATATAACAGAGTAAAAGTATGCCAGTCAGTCAATGATCCTCCAAGATTTTTACATTTTTGAACTCCAGATCTTGAAATGTCAAGAAATGCAAAAAAATTTGAGAGGTTTTTCTGTATGTATGAATGTGTGTGTGTGTTAAAGTTTGATGGTTTAAGATCATTGACATGGGGAGATAGAAGGAGGTCACGTGTCAAATTTCGAGTAGGATTGGACTTAAATGATGATTTTACTTCTTATTAGCATTTACAATTTTTATAAAACTAATCTCTAGCCTCAAAATTAAGCCTTTTGTCATTTTATACAGTAATAATTAAGTTTATATTCTTAATTAAACAGATGGTATCACATGCAGTTTTAAATGTTCCCATGTTAAGCAACTCATCACTAGATATTTTTAACATTGTGTTAGTATAATGCTGCAATTTGAGAATGAAAATTTAGAAGAAAGCAAATGTTAAATTTTGTGTTAGACTTGGAAAATCTGTCGGAGATCATTGAAGTGTTTCGGGAGATGTATGGTAACTAATGGGTGAGATCACAGTCTTTGAGACCTTAAGAAGGCAAGACAGGTCAGAAGTGCAACAAAGAGCATGTCGAGCATTTTTTTCAATCATAAGGGAGTTATGTATTGGAAATTTGTTTCTCCCAGCCAGATGATGAATTTAGACTTTTACTGTAATGTTTTAATATGAGTGCATGAGGATGTCCATTGCAAAAGACCAGAACTGTAGTACAATCAAACCTGAGTCCTTAATCATGACAATGCTACTGCATACAAAGCCTTGAAAATAAGGATTTTTGGGGATAGTCTTTCTCACCTTTCTTACTTGCTGAATTTAATCCCTTTTTACTTGTTTTTTGTTCTCCAGAATAAAATTGAAGCTCAGTGTTTCAATATGTTCAAGGAGATTAGTCTGTTTCATAGCAGATACTTTGGAATTTTTGAAACAGTGACTTCCAAGGAACATTTGAGCCTTGACAGAAGCAGTGGAATTGCCGAATAAAGGCAGGGGGGCTATTTTGAAAGGGATGAAGTCAAGTTTAAATTAGTTAAATATTAAAATTCTTTATAGACCAAATCTGGGTTTTTTTCTGATCACTCGCTATTTCTGTTATTATTCATAATATAATAGTATCTATGTATTAACCACATCAAATTGGATCATACTTTCTGAATAATACTGTACTTATAATCTATTCTTTTATAAATGTTAACAAATTATCATTAAAATGGTTTGTTTTCACTTAGGTTTCAGAATTTCGTGAATATTGTCGTCCTGTCTTAAATAAAAATTTAACTGAATTTTGCATGTCCCTAACTGGAATAATGCAGGTAAGTTTTTGAATTAATCAAAAAAAATTTCATTTCTATGATAAATTGTGTAATTAAACAATGAAATTCAAAATCAAACTTTCTGATACATAATATCAAATTGTTCATCAAAAATCATTTTTCAAAGCATAAAAAATATATATAAATGAATGAAATATAGAGGAAAAAAATAAACTTTGTTTTCTTTTATTTGATTTATTTATGTGTATGGTCCTATGATTTATTTTGACAAGTAAAATCATAGTAAAATGAATTACACTTTACGCCTACATTTAAATATATAAAATAAATACACTTAAGTGTTGTGGCGTTACTGTTTGCAAATATTTAGAGCATAAAAGGCGCTCGCGAAATCATAGGAAATGATGCCTTTATTTGATTGTAAGAAGGTAATTATATATTTACAGATAAAGAAATTTGTATAATTATAATCAGAATTAATATTTTTAAAGTGTTTTTAACTTTATTCAAATATTATGTGTAATTTTTGGTTCAAATGCTTCAGATTATTGAAGTCTAATATTTCTAATTTACAAGCATTAAACTATAATTGAACAGTTTCCAGTTAAGTTTCAGAAGTACAGGATCTTTCAAATTAATGCTATCACATTAAATTACTGTTACCATTATCAGAGAAGTGTGAGACTTACACTAATCAATAGAGTAACCATTTGAGTTTTGTCTCCCATCTGTATTATGCCCCATCTTGTCTCATTGACTACTACCTCTAGGAAATGTCATAAACAAAAAAGCAGTGGAATCTAAACAAAAAATATTTGACTTCAGCCATTTGAAATTTTAGTTCTTGAATTGTGGAATGATGTTTCATTTCTCTTTTCATTAAACTATTAAAGATAAATAGTAGTAGGTTTGAATCTATCAGCATGATTTTTATAAGTGTAACTTTTGTGTAGTTATAAAAATAATTTTGAGTTTTTATTTTTAATATTAGAGATTATAAAATTAAAAAAAATTGATTTATTTAAAGGATGTGGTTGATAAAGCAGATACTTTTCCCTTTGTTCTTGAAAGATTTATGACGTGGATGGCTAGCTACAAACTTGGGTGTGGCAATTCATTTGCCATTGTGACGGATGGGTAAGAATCACTTCTCAAGTAAATTGTAGATAGATAAAAAATAATTATATTTAAATAAATTTATCACTTTTTAAGAATGTGATTGTTAATTTTAATGTATTCATTAAATTTAAAGAATAAGATCAATCAAACCTTTTAGTAGAATTAGTCAGTCCTTCTTGAGAGTTGAACAAGAATGTCCTAACTCAAATTAATTACAAAATCTCATAAAAGTCAATAACCTTTGCAATAGGAGAAATTATAAATCTATTCTCTGGGTGATGTATGTTTAAATTCTGCCATTATATTATCTGTTCATATCAACAAAGTTTATTTTCTAGTTACAAAATATTTCAGGAGTTATTGCAGTGTAGTCTTTAGTTGGAGGAAGGATGTAATGTTTGAGGACACTTGCCATCGAGCCAGTGCCTTCAATAATAAGACATGTACGAATTTATAGTCATGGCTATCTCATTGTCACACGGGTGATAGTTCTATTGCAAAGATCATACTCTGAAGCATGTAGCCTTGTCACAGAGGATAAGATATGTGCATGAATCTAGTGGTTTTGCTATATGTTATGTCTATGTTGTATGCTTAGAATTTTGTTAATATGGATTGATGATATGAAATTTTTGAAGTAAATTCATTAAATGCATGAAAATATGTACGGTTTTTTCTCTTGTATTTATTCTTTAGAAATATAGTGAAGTGTCAAAAATCTGGACTAATTCGGACCAAACACTATCCGGATTTTCAAATACAATGGTGCCCTGTACTTTAGATCTGGTTCATTCCAGGAAGCCATTCAAACTCTGAATTGAAGTCTGAAACAATTTTCCCATTAGAAATAATGGAAAGTTAATTAATCTGTTCCCAGATTCTAAACAATAACCATTTTGATAAACTTAGATAGCAAGTAAATTTAATTAAAGATAAAAATAACACAATTAATATCTTAAATAATAAATTAAAACTTGAAAACAAAACATAAAATATGTATATACTGATTTTAAGAGAAAAATTCACATAAAAAGTCATTAAAGAACATTTTAAAAAACATTTTAATATCCTGCGAGTGCTTTTGACATGTTTTATGTAAATTTTTAGTAAAACTCAGTAAAGTCAGTAAAACTGTTGGCGTGATATCCACGCTGCATATTTAAGTTACTTAACAAGATATGTGAATACTGTATAATAAAATAAAAATTACATTTACTATAACTTAGTGAGGAGTGGCGATGTACCATGTTGCTCTTGGAGAGGAAGAGAATGATTACTATTTACAAACGAAGATACTTTCCATAAACACAACAAATAACTGTATTTCTGGTTTTTTTCTTTCTCTTCTGTTTCTTAACACTACTGGTTAAAAGTTTTAGATCACACCTTTAGCCACATTTGTTGCTTTTATTGCTTTCTTATATTTAAGAATGATAATTGTTGTTGACTTCGGCATCTTAAATGTGGCAGTCGGAATGACTGCATAGGTACTGCTTTCATGCTTTGCAATAAAGTTACTTTTTTCACCTCAACCATCACCACTACAACCTTCTTGCTTCCACATATTTCTTGGGAGCCAAGGTTAATAGCAGGGCTGTGGAGTCGGAGTCGGAGTCGTGGAGTTTTGGTGTTTTAGGCGGAGTCGGAGTTGGAGTTGGATGGTAAGGAAAAGTCGGAGTCGGAGTTGGAGTCGGTAGATTTTTACGCGACCCCACACCCCTGGCAGGATTGTGGAGTCGGAGTCGTGGAGTTTTGGTGTCTTAGTCGGAGNAATAATCATCGCTATTGTATCGTTAAAAATGAGAAAGTTAAGCCTCGTTTAAATACTGGCTCCGTTTCATGGTCGATCCAGTGTTGCCAGCTAAAACACGTAAAAATAATATTAAAGTAGCCAAGACATAGCCAAATATTGTAGCGCCACATCAATAGCAAACATTTGAAATTTGCCGACTAGGACGGTCGGTTAACCAAGGGGTCGGTTGATAGGGGGTCAGATAATCGAGGTTCTACTGTAATTCACTATATACATATGTGATGTATTTATTTATTATTAAAGTAGATATTATGTATGTTATTGTAACTTTTATCAAACAAAAGAACAATTTTGCCATTTTTACATATAATTAATTTACTTTCATCAATTAGAAACTTAAGCCTCGTTTAAATACTGGCTCCGTTTCATGGTCGATCCAGTGTTGCCAGCTAAAACACGTAAAAATAATATTAAAGTAACCAAGACAGCCAAATATTGTAGCGCCACATCAATAGCAAACATTTGAAATTTGCCGACTAGGACGGTCGGTTAACCGAGGGGTAGGTTGATAGGGGGTCGGATAATCGAGGTTCTACTGTAATGGAAAGTGAATTAATCTGTTTCCAGACTCTAAACAATAACCATTTTGATAAACTTAGACAGCAAGTACATTTAATTAAAGATAAAAATAACACAATTAATATCTTAAATAATAAATTAAAACTTGAAAACAAAACATAAAATATGTATATACTGATTTTAAGACAAAAATTCACATAAAAAGTCATTAAAGAACATTTTAAAAAACATTTTAATATCCTGCGAGTGCTTTTGACATGTTTTATGTGAATTTTTCTCTTAAAGTCAGTAAAACTGTTGGCGTGATATCCATGCTGCATATTTAAGTTACTTAACAAGATATGTGAATACTGTATAATAAAATAAAAATTACATTTACTATAACTTAGTGAGGAGTGGCGATGTACCATGTTGCTCTTGGAGAGGAAGAGAATGATTACTATTTACAAACGAAGATACTTTCCATAAACACAACAAATAACTGTATTTCTGGTTTTTTTCTTTCTCTTCTGTTTCTTAACACTACTGGTTAAAAGTTTTAGATCACACCTTTAGCCACATTTGTTGCTTTTATTGCTTTCTTATATTTAAGAATGATAATTGTTGTTGACTTCGGCATCTTAAATGTGGCAGTCGGAATGACTGCATAGGTACTGCTTTCATGCTTTGCAATAAAGTTACTTTTTTCACCTCAACCATCACCACTACAACCTTCTTGCTTCCACATATTTCTTGGGAGCCAAGGTTAATAGCAGGGCTGTGGAGTCGGAGTCGGAGTCGTGGAGTTTTGGTGTTTTAGGCGGAGTCGGAGTTGGAGTTGGATGGTAAGGAAAAGTCGGAGTCGGAGTTGGAGTCGGTAGATTTTTACGCGACCCCACACCCCTGGCAGGATTGTGGAGTCGGAGTCGTGGAGTTTTGGTGTCTTAGTCGGAGTCGGATTGGTAAGGAAGATTCAGAGTCGGAGTTGGAGTCGGTAGATTTTTACGCAACTCCATAGCCCTGGTTAATAGGTAAGGGTTACAATATAACTGAACACACTAACCTTATTTTTATCCCAGCAGGATGGAAAAATTAACACAAATGTGAGAAAATTAAAACAAAACAAACTTTTTTGAAAATGATATTCTAACTGACTTACAATTGAAATTAATTAAAAAAAAAAAACAGAATAAAATGGAACATCTCAAGCATTTGGAAGCGCTAGAAGTATTTAAAACAGAAAAGCAGGGAACATATATCAATTTTAAAGAAGGAAAATAAATTTCCCATGCATGACAAACCTTATATGATATGTCATTATAGAAGATTTACTACAGCAAATAAAAATAAAGACACCCCATTGGTTAATATATAAATTTGAATTTATACTAAGTTTTCATTGCATTCCATTTTTGAAAATTGAAGTAATTTCATCAACCTGAAGCAGGTCTTAGGAGTAGACCAGAAGCATTTGTTTTGTCTTAATTTTCTTACATTTGTGTTAATTTTTCCATTCTGGTGGGAGAAACATAAGGTTAGTATGTTCTTTATTTTAATTACCTGCCAGTTTCTAGAAGATTAGAACATTTAAATGCACCAAACATAAAGTAAAAAAGCACTGAAAATATACTTATGCAATGCAAGAGATGCTTTCCCAGGGACAGTGAGAGACGACACACTGGCACACAATAGATGCCTTTTACATAACAAGCACATTTTTTCACTGTGTATGCAGTTTGAATGTAGAAGCATTATTTAAACTCTGGATTGAACTTCTCTTGAATTTAGCATTCAGACTTTGGAACATTTGAACTTAGAGTTGTTCAAAATATGAGGTCTTTTCAAAAAATAATCAAACTTTTTGAATTGAGTGGAAATGGAGTTTCCTAGTGTTGTGAGGTTGGCAACACTATGTTCATGATAACCTACTGAGTAAGCTGCTTTTTTTGGATTGTTGATATCGCATTTCGTTCACACATTATTGTTTTTTGAGTGAAAGGTGTTTCAATGTTCATGGTGATTTTTTCAATGTGTGATTTATGGGAACAATGATGCAATGTAAAGTTTTGTGTGAAACTGGGGAAAGTTTTACTGAAATATTTCAACTTTTGAATTAAGCTTATTGAGGCAATGCTCTAAGTTGTATGCAGTGTTACAAATGGTTTACCTGATTCAAAAGTGGTCGTCAGTCAATTGAAGATAACCCTCAACCAGGAAGGCCTTTGACCTCAACTGATGACACTCATGTTTACAAAATCAAGGATCCAATGCATGCAAATCATCATCTAATTGTCAGAGAACTTATAGAAGAGGTTGGGGTGTCAAAAGGGTTGTGCCATGACATTTTAATGGAAAAATTGAACATGCATCAAGTTACAGCAAAATTTGTTCCTTATTTGATGACCGAACAGCAGAAGGAAAATCGAATGGATGTTTGCCTGGAATTCCTTCAACAAGTCAATGATGACAAAACATTCATGCAAAGGATCATAACAGGTTGAGAGTTGGGTTTACAGTTATGACATTGAGACAAAAGTTCAATCATCACAATGGATTGGCAAGGATCTCCACACCTGAAAAAAGAACAACAGTCTCAATCAAATTTCAAGGTGGTGATCACTGTTTTTTTTCCTATCTCAACGGAGTTGTGTGCTTTGAATTTTTGCCTCAGGTCAAGCAGTCACCTGTCAGTACTCTGCAGATGTTTTGAAATGGTTGCATGAAAAAAATTCATAAAAGGAGACCAAAGTTGTAGCAAGACAACTCATGGTTCCTTCGCAGTAACAACATGCCTGCTTACTCAACCTTGTCAATTTACCAGTTTTGTGCCAAAAATCAAATGACACTCCTCTCCAGTCTCCCTACTCACCATTCCTGGCTCCTTGTGATTTTTTCTTGTTTTCAAAATTAAAATCAATGCTGAAAGAACATCATTTTGACATAATTGATGACATTAAAACAAATTTATCACAAGCATTGAAGAACATTCTGAAAGAAGTTTACCGGGACTACTTTGAAAAGTGGAAACACCACTGGGATAAGTGTGTGAATAAGGAAGGGGAGTACTTTGAAGGGGACAAGGACCAATAATCTGTAACTTGAAGAATAAAAATTAAAAAAAATGAAGGTGTAAACTCCAAATACTTTGTCATTCAAGTTTAGATGTTTTAAGTTCAAGTCCAAGTTCAAAGTTCAAGTTCTAAGTTCAAGTTCAAGTCCAAGTCCAAGTTTCACAAGGAAAGTTGTAAACTATATATTACATAATCCCTATGTTTAAACAAAAATTACACTAATCATAATTTCAAAATTAAAGAATTACAAATTTTGAATGAATATTAGCACATCAACAACATAAGGCCAAAACAACACTAGCAATGAATTTACTATTGAAATGGTTAGCCATTTTTCAACAGAAGAAACCAGATTTTTGATACTTCATCGTATATCTATAATTACTTTATATGTACAAGTGCATTTCTTTATTAAAAATTATTTATTTTGTTTACAGACCATGGGATATGAATAAGTTTTTGGTTGTTCAGTGTGATTTGAGCCATACTTCATTTCCAAAGTTTGGTAAAAAGTGGGTCAACATTTGTAAAACATTTGCCAACTTTTACAAGACAAAAAAGGTTAGATATTCTTACTAAATTTTTAATGGATTAATTATAGTATGTATTTTTGTATAGGTTTATATTTTATAGTATTCAACTGAAAGTGATCATATTGCAACTATTAAAATGCATTATAGTTTTAAACCTTCCATTTGACATCAGCTTCTAAACTTAACTAAATTGTCTACTTGTCATTAGTTTGATTATTGGATAGTTTCATATTCATTTCAACTAAATTACACTGAGCTATTCTATCTATTATTTAGTCAATCATTTGGATGTTTGCAACAGGAAAATCTATAGTGTTTATAAGGCTTGTATTTGTTTTCATATTCAAAATTTCTAAATTTAAACTCATTGAAATAAACCAAATGCAATATGAACAAATTCATGCTGCTGATATTCAAGTGATCCTGTTAAGTACAACTAATGACTTCTATAATTTACTTTTTGAATTGATCATAAATGTCCATTTCACAAACACTGAAACAATTAACACTCAAAGAGTTAATGTTTTTTTTATAGATTCTTTTGGTTTACATAATATTCCAGTTCAATTTTGAAATTTTTCCAATATATTTCATCTTATATTTAAGTGATTAGAACTGTAATATACTGATTTATTTTGGAACAGAACATAGACAAAAGCAGTCTTTTAACTTCAAGAATGGTTTTTTTTTTATTAGGGATGACAAATTTGTATACATCACAAAAGAGAAATATCAATCTTTCAATTCATTCACCTTCTCTTTTTGCACCAATTGCTTTGCTATTCCAAGAAATCCAAGTTAGCTACAGTTATTCCATTGATGTTAGATAATACCAAAATGTATTGAATTTTATTTACTAACATCAAATGGTGAAATAGTTATCTTTGCAGCATTGTAAACTGATAATAAAATAAAACTGTTTAATTCTTTTATGTATAAAGTAGCAAGCATGATTGGTAAACCGATTCACGTAAGTCTGTATGATGTCGAGCCTTTCTTTGATACCATATATCACATAATACTATATTGTTCGAGATCTAGATCAGTGTTTTTAAATCTTTTTTATCTCATGGCATACTTGAATCTATAATTAAATTTTACGTGACTTAAAGTTGTCCTTGTAAATATTGTATTGCCACTTAACGTAATTGTTTTTGTCTACATTTTCTGTGAATTAAATAAAAACAGTATTGTCATTCCTTAAAATAGCAGCAGGTTACAACAATGGTTATGTAAATTAATAATTTTCATTTAAGTAAGAAAAGCAATTAACGTTAAGTCTTAATTTGCATTTAAAAGTGGCATGGTAATTCTCTTTAGAAACCTGTCAAACGTCCTGCTGTTTTTAAGTTAAAATACTTTGAACTAAATATGGACAATATATTGATAGGTACATTTTTGATTTAAAGAAAATTTCATTTAAATGAAATAACCCAGTGTTATGCACATATAATTTTGCTTATGGTTTTAATTTTGACATGTACGCTTATTGTTCTTTGGGTTTCTTTTAAAAATAATTAATTTTATAATCTTAAAAAATTTTGTGGCACACCTATGATTTTTTCATGGCACACTTGTTGAAAATACTGATCTAGATGCAAGCTAATATTTTATACTAGATCTTGGAACAAGTACATATACATATGCTTGTTTTTATCCTTGTTCTGTATATATGTATATTGTAAGACATACGCCACTAAAAGAGTTTAATTCTAGGTTTCCTATGTCTAAAACCGCCATGGATTGTAGTGGTATAAATAAGTGTATTGCTTGCATTACTATATGCTATGTTTTGTGGCTATCGTGCTCAATCAAGCCACATTAGGTGGTTTGGGTCGGGATTTGGTGTAACTGTTCAAAGCCATTCAAGAAAATCTCAGGATTTAATGGAGATTTGTATCAGTCCCTAAAGTCAGTAGCTGATAGTTTTGGCCGTTCATCCATCCATCACTGTTCATCTGTTAGAATTGGTTATATTAAGACAACTTCAATTACATATCTTATACATTGAGTAAAATATTAGATGCTACGTTTAGACATTGATAGATTATATGTAAATTTATTATTAGCTTTTAATTATAATTGATTAAAGGAAAATATAGTTAGCATTGTCAAAATCAGTTATGTTATAAATAGAATTTTCAAATATACTAACATTTCTTTCACCTCTAAGGTAAGGGAATACATTGTTGGATGGATGGGAGGAAAAAATTCACTTGCATTATAAATTATGGGTAGCTGTGTGTGCTAGATGGATGGGCAAACAAAGGATCAGGTTGCATGGTAAGAAACCCATCAATATTCTCAATGAGGCAGTATTTCTACCTATCCATGCCTTGAGTGAATAAGGTCGCTAATACCGGTGCATGGTTTTCAAAACCTCTCGGTACTCTATCATTATAAGAAATTACTTTTTTTTAGGGGGATTTGTGTACATTTCTCTTGCTTTTGCAGATGTGCTTTTAATTTCTGTAATGTAAAAATACAAAGAATTTTATAATTTACAGCATCTTTGTCTAATAATCAAGAGCTCACTATCACTAATTCTTCATGTGTGTTAATCAGACAGAAAAAGACTCATCTGAATATTTTCGCTTTTTCTTCTGTTTTCCTGCACCATTCATATGCCCACTTACCTTTATGACACTAGAATATTAAATAATAACCGTGTTGAAAACTTTAAATTACAATACAAGGTAGAGATTGTAAAATATGTCGTAAATAAAATATTTTGTTTATTTCATATTTTATACACAATAAGTCGTTAAAGCTTTATCTTCCCCTTTTAGCCATATCATAATTGGTTTAGGCATATTACTATGTGAGATTAGCCGGGGGTACTAAACGGGAGTACCACTTAATCGACTCAAAATCGTGAGATTCGATCTCTAAATATTTTTAAGGAGGGCTTTTAGAATGTTAAAAGAAAGATCTAGATGGTGAGTTCTAGATATCTTCAGGATCCTAGACATCAGTTAATCAGATTTATTACATGTGGATTAACACGCGTTCATTTCAATATGGAGAGGATGAAGTATTTTGATTCAGACATAATGAGACTTAGTTTCAAACATAATATCAAATATTTAATAAGGAAAAGGACAAGTATACAAAGTGGACCTTCAATATATATCTATTTATACTATTGCAGAGAGAGCAATCATGTTTCCAGTTAAAATCATACTACCTCAAATTATATTCTTTTATCTTCTTCTTAATTTCCAGATAGCTGCGAATGTTCTTATCTTTGGTTAATTCTTCGGTGGCACTTTAATAAACATTTTCTTCTACTTAGGAACTTAAATAACAAACTTTGTATGAACTTCGGAGTTGATTATGGGCATTGGACGTGGGGAGATGATATGGAATAGGTTCTTCTCTTATGGAATTTTGTGGCGTACTCCTCGAATGATACTAAAGAATCCCTTTTTTTGATGTTTTTCTCCAATAAGAAAACTGTATTATTTTCATGTGTTTAGGAAGAGTGGGGGTTTACAGAGGGGTAACTGGACTGTATGTGACTCAAAATTTGTGAAGATAAGGGAAAACAAAAAGGATGTAGAACTTCTGTTCAGAAGGAAGTGAATTTTACCAGTTTCCTTCATTTTTAACTTAAAATTCTTTCATTTAAATCAGAAATATTATTTCTAACATTTATGGATTTGACATAAATTTTCAATTAATTAAGGGGGGGTGTTCAGAATCTCACAACTGTATATCAAAGACATTGACTGCCCTGTTATAAATTTGACATTTTAGCATGCATTTTACTTTAGTTATTATGTTTTATTTATATATTTTGTATTTTGAATTTAGCGTTCATTGAAGAAAATGTTGCAAACGCTGGACATGGAATTCGAAGGACGAAAACATTGCGGATTAGACGATGCTCGTAATATAGCCAGGATCGTAATTCATTTATTAGAAAAGGGTGCAACAGTTACTGTAAATGAAAGACTTTCATGGAATGAGTAAGGAATTTGCATAATTTTGATGTATTTAATATAAAAAAAAACACTTAATTTCATAATTATGGTTTAAACTAAAACTAAGACTGCTTTTTTGGACTTGAGAAATATTTTAACCTTTGTGTTAACAAAGGGAAGTAAAATATAATGTTTATTTAACATGGAAAAAACCAACTTTTTGTTACAGTATTTCAAATTTTTGCATAAATGTTCAAGTTTTAAATGTTTTCCAGTTCATACATGTGTTTGCCAGATAATCTAGGCTACTAAGGTGTTAACACAGGACTCAGGATCAAATCCCATGATCAAAAAATCAAGTATTTAGAGGGGTCTCTATTGGATATGTTAGGCCCTGTCCCTTGCCACTGAACCTGCAGACTTTCTTGGAGTTTTTAAACTTCAAGATAGTCCTTTTTGTATATATAAATAACAACAACTCAAAGCCCGAATAGTATATAATAAATTACCAAACGATCGCCTAAATATAATGCCTACCTCTAATGTCAAATTAGTTTAGTCCTTTTTGTTTTTGTTTTATTGTATTTTGAGAAATATAATATGTATTTATAATTATAATTTATTTTACAGAATTTCTTCAAGAGTAATAAGCGCATCTGGAGGATTTGGTCATAAAGATTAGCGAATTATTACAATAGTGAGGTCAAAACCTTTAAGCAAATCACAGAATAAAGTGGTCAAAAATTGGATTTTGTATTATACACCCAACATTGTACAGTTAAAACTTTATAATGTATATTTTTAATAATTGTTACATACAATATTTAAATAAAATTATAATTTGTACAATTTTTACATTTCTTTCTACATGAGAATATTTATTTATACAGGGTATATATTTATACTGATAAAACAATTGATTGTTACAAGTACGCTGGGTTGTGCTTATGAAGGATTTTCAAATGTTATCTCTGGAGTTTACAATTTAAGTGTTTTTATATAATAAATTTTCTATACAGTCGACCCCCCTATAAGATAGAGATACGTTCCATTCTTTAGGAATCTGATTTCTTACGAATCCTTCCAATCACAACCCGACACGTGCCAAGTTTATGGACTACGGCTGTTTGAAAGATTTTCTTCCATAAAATTAATCGATTCTAGACTAATCCGACTCAACATTTCCAAAATACGTATATTTTTATACATATTTTCCAAAATACCGGTCACAATTTTTTCGTAGTTTTATAGGAATCGTAATTATAGGGACCGTAATTATAGGGGGGGGGTCGACTGTATATTGCTTTCAATTTAGTAAAAATATTATCAGTAATATTTTTAATAATAGAAAAATTGTTGACTTTCTTTCAGATGCCATAAAAGCTTTCCTGTAAAGTTTTTAAGGATTTGGGTTGATAAATATTTACATATTTTATTTATATATGACTGTAAAATAAGTTACGTGGCCTAAAATAAGAAATTGTCAGTAATAAATTATCAAAAATAAAAAAAAAATAGTTTAAAGAGGAATGAAATACTGTCCTAGTTGCATTTGATGACACTATTCAACTAATCAATAGAATATGTAGAGGTTTATTGCTCAATAACTAAGTTTTATCACCAGAAAATAGGAAAATTCACTTTCATTTTATTGAAATATATGCTATAATTTTAAAATTGTAAATGTAAAGTGAATAACATTAAATGTGTTTATATTTGACATTGGAGTGATGAATTCGTAACTCCCCTGATGTATGTATTGTTGATAACGCTACAAACTTACTATAAACTTATACATTGTGTTCGGTTGTGGGCGAAAGATTTTATTGCCCACAACCGAACCGAACTCACATTGAGGTTTTCAGGTTCAAGAAACATACTTAAAAGAAACTTCTACATACATTTTGTATTTAGTACAACGTAGACTACATATACACACTATTTGCTGTGACAGATCCAAGTGATCAGTAGGATGCTATTCGCATATAGTTAAATAAATAAAATACAGTACGTATACAATAGTGTGCCGATACCCGTAATTTCATTCTTTACATGTTGATCCACTTATCCGAATTACTTTCAGAACGAATCAATTCGGATAACCGGAGTTCTATTGTGTATACATGCGTAAATTTACGATCCACCCCCATATACATCGATCCAAATCGAGCAAAGACAATTTCGAAACATTAATTTATCTTTATGACGTTTAGTTTTTGTTCTGTTAAAATTTAAATTAAATAAAGCTAGACAATGTAACACTAGGGTTTACTTGTAGCATATAACTTATATAAATTCAAAAATCCAGCAACAAATTGCGTAACTTTCTCAGCAGTTATGAGATTTTATTTTAAAAAATAACTTTTATATTATTAATCATAATAAATAAAATTGTATGTGGCGCCATCTGTTACGAGATTTTATAAGTTTTCATGCTGTATTTTTTTAAATTACTATATTATAGGCTTATATTTTTCCTAACAAATTGGTTGACTTTTAGGACCATCGTAATCGATAATTTCCGTTAATAATTTTATATATATTAAAAGTCTATTATTATTGTAAGTAAAATTTTCATTTAATTACCCATTGTCTTTACGATGTTCTATATTAATTTGCGTACTTATTAATTACGCTATTGCAATGCAATAAATAAATTTTTATTTCTCATCTGTAACAATAGTTTTTATCTTAAGCTTTTGATATACAAAAATAAATGACGCAGAGAATTCTTAAAAAATTATATTTATGTGGTTAACTCTTGTAATAACGAATATGCTTTTGGCATTGTTAATAGAAATTTTATTTGTTTGTATATATATAATAATTGCATCACGTCTTCTCACAGGCTGGTGGTGCTTACGGTTTTCCTCGGTGTGCTTCTCGGTGATAAAATATTAGAACCCGCTTGCTGTCTTCTGATGTTTTCTAAGTGAGACGTCTTCAGATTACCTAACAAGCGTAATTCTTCCATTTCTTTGTCCTAAAAATGAAAATTTTGTGGGTGACAAATATCATTTTGAAAATTTAATTGATGATAAAGTAAGGACATGTTTAGTAGGAATGATAAAGACAATTGCTACCTAATCAGGTTTTCTACCGCTTGGATGTGTACCAAGTTACCAAAGGTATGTACACAGAGCACATAACACAGAGACAGTTGCACTTACGATTGAGCCCGTCATGTAAAACACCACTATTCTTTTATGAATACTCTGTACATTTTAAGATAATTTATGTACAGTACAGTACATACCGTTTGTTGAAGCCTTAGAACCAAGGCTCTTCGACCATCAGCCATTCCTTGTGTGTATTTTCTTTGTTGCCTTAAACATTCTGATGGGTGTACTCCTCTCTCTACAACTAAAACTATTCTTGCCCACTGTAAATTAATTATTTTAATAATTAGTATGTTACAATTAGAATTGATATCAATCGAATTTAATGAAATTATTAAACCTGTCTCATCCATTCATTTCGCCTCTCTGCAATATCTTGGTAAGTCTTCCCCATCATAGCAATTAGCATATTAATAAGCAATATTGTTACAAGAGCCATATATACAATGAATAAAACCTGAAATAAAAAGATTTGTCTTTTAAAGTTAGCATAAGAAACCAAAGAACGTAAAATGGAATTTACTTTTGCCACTGCAGGATGATCAGTGTTGTCAAATTCTTCATAAATATCTCCAAATTCGGAAAGTGACATGACAAACATTGCCATGATGCTCTGTATGGGATCACAGAAGAAGTTTTTATCAGGTTCTCCAGAATGTGATAGAAAAATCACATAAAATGCTAAATAAAGTGAAGAAAAATATGAAATTTTTTGTTATTTTTTGAAAAAATATGCTTTAATTTTCAAATTTTAAACACTACCTTGTGAAAATCCTAAAACAAACACTAGATAGATAGTAACAAAGCACAGTAAATCTGTTAAAATCATTTTATATATCATAACTACAAATGGGCCAACCATTTTGAAGCCTCTGAAAAGATAAAAATTATATTAAAACGAAGAACACGATTCCTTTATATAAGATACTACAAATAATTTCACCTGCAAAAGAACAAAAAGTAAGGAGCTGTCGTTAGCATCACCAAAACTGCAGCAATATCTTCTACACTAGATAAACATGCTATGCGTAAGGGTATCATTAACATCACTAATTGGCACGATATCAGGAAAAGTACACGAGAGGGTACAGTCATCTATAGCGAAACAATAGATTTATACATCTTTCTTTAATTATAACAAAACTATAAATGGTTTTTCCTACCAGATTTTCCATAAATGTGTTATATCCTAAAAATCTTGCTTCTCTTACAGCCTGGATCAGGTATGTGAAAGCTCCAACTGCTGTCAGACATTCTAGTACTAAACGAAGCTGTGTGTACATATATATAAAATGTATAATTAGAAATTTAGAAATCCTAAAAAAAGTTGAAGTTACGACTCATTTTTGAATCGCTGATGACTGCCATTAATGTTTAGATTTGACAATTGCAATCATAAATGACGGTCTGACTTGTCAAGGGGATGCCTTCTGGAGGAATTATGGAAAACTGGCCTCTATTATTAGTGTTAGGGACGTGAAGGAAACCCGGAAAACTCTGCGTAACTAGTCTGCGTAACTAGTCTATTGATTAGGCACGAACCCACGACCATTATTCAGTGGTTTTATCCATTAGACTACTGGTGGGTGCGTAACTAATTAACAAGTTCTTGTACAAAAATATATTGTACTGTTCTTTTAAGTATTACTTACCACATCCACGAAAGTTTCCGTATTTAAGAGAATACATTTATCCTGCCCGTTCTGATTCGTAAAATTATCCGAATTATTTGTAATATTTTGGATATTTGAAGGTGAAATAGGTCCGGGTCTCAGGATAAAACAGCAAGAAGATATTAAAAAATAAATAAAAAATATACTGAACTGACGGTAAAATCTATAAAAATGG